TGTCACATGGAAACACAGAACATATAGAAACACTGTAGGTGCTGAATGCCATCTAAAGACAAAATAATTAAGTGAAGTCTAAACTCACAACAAACCAATCACTAATAACCAATTTAATTAAATCTATAACATTTCATTCCTGTACTGTTACTGACAACCCATTTGCTATATTTCCCCCCATCTCTTTCTGTCATTGGTTATATATAGCTCACCATCTCTATCTCTATATCATTACTCAAACAGATACATTGATTGTTATGCTTAGTTATTATTACTGGTTTTAGCATCAATAAGGCCACTTGTGGAATGAAAGGTCCAGCATCCTATACACTCTTTATAAGGCACAGAATATAACACACAAGTTTGTATTATCCCAGGTCTGTTTCTAGAGGCACCTCCTACGGCCGTACAAGTTCCTACTTGATATTCTGTCAGTACAACAGGGGTAGTCAACCTTCAGCACTACAACTCTCATAGTGCTTCTAAAACAGCCATAATACTGACAAAGGACCTATCTCTCCTCCAGAATGTACAGCAAAAGGCTAAAGGTCTGAAACAAGGCTCAGTCACTTGCCACTGGTGCATTAAGATTGACATTAGGAGTAGCCAAATGCTTAAAGGACTTGGAACTTCAAACCCACACCTTATAACCAATCTCTCACTTAGTGATACTGTGCAGATCTGTGCGATACATTGTAACCATTCCTTTACAACAGACGTACCAAAATTTAAAATAGTTATCTTGTCCAATATAGCAGTAAGAAATATTTAGGCATAACAGAATTTTCTTCTGACACATATGTCAATTTAAAAGTTGCATCATGTATAACAGGGGTTAATCACCTCCTTCAGAGCAAGTGAAAGTATATTGATGTTTAGACCATTCTTAAAGGTCTACTCCAAGCACCATGACCTCTTCAGTGTTGTTGAAATGATGATAGAGCTTGGAGTCTATATGTGCAGCTTTTCAGTTAGAAACACTGTACATACAGAGCTATAACCGCTTGCTTGCTGCCAAAGGTATATAGCATCTGTCTCCTGAATCTGTGCTCCAAGACATCCTACAGCCTCGAGCAAGGGGTAACAGCACAGAAGGAGGATCAGTGCAACAGGGAGAACTTTGCAGGTAAGTTTATCATTTCTTACTTTTTTGAGACGGTGGGTTGGGGGGAGGGGGTGGGAGATACTAACTAGGCTTGCTTCAGCTGAAATTAGTGTTTAATAAAAACACTTTTTTTTATTGGAGTAACCTATTAAGTAACCTATTGACATAGAAAGAATGTTTTATAGATTTCTAGAGAATATTTTTAAGCATTTAATAGGTCTATTTTAAGAAAAATTAACTGCTCAATCACTTGTATTAATATACAAATTATATACACAATCCCTCCACTAACCCTCATACTCCCTAAAAGTAAAACTATTATTCATGAGGACCAAGGAGAATTTTTGTTAAGATATTCTCCGCTAAGACCTTGGCTCCGTAAATTTCATATGTCAAGGTTTTCACAGTTAAAGCGCGTTCAGTTTCCATAAGTGAACAGACAGAGGAGTGGCTTCCTGTCCACCTGCTAAGGAAATCCGCTTTTAATCCCATCGGTAGTAGAACTTCATATCAAACACTGATTACTCTATTAACAGATTTTTATATTTAGTTCACTCTTGAGTTTATTATGTCTAAAGCTATATTGTTTTTACTGATGCCAAAGATTTACAGACATTTGTGGAGTCTTAGAGCATAGACCTTTCAGACTGTCTGTCCTAACTGGAATCAGTGTGAAGTAACAGGTCAAATGAAGGCTAAGACTCCTGTGAGTTCACAATCTTAATTCAGGGCCCTCAGTATATGGTGGTAAAATAAGGGTTGAAAGCCATAGAAGGTTCTTACTTTACTTTTTTATGGAATTACTCGGTTTGCACAAATTGGCTGTTTAGACCCATATAATTATTCACACAACAAAATTTGCACTTCTATTTGGCTGCAATTTGGTTGTCTGTTGAAAACTGTTGAATTTCCATATAACAAGGACTATTTGGCTATTCACACATAACTGAATGGCAACAAATTATCTTCATAAGGTTGTTCTAGTTCCCCACACTAGGGGGATTGTTCTTAAAACATCTTAAAACATAGTACTAAACTTTATAGTGTTTTATTGGTATAAGTGTGAATTCTCTTCTAACATTTTAGAGTCAAATATAGAGCCTTCAGGCTTCAGATAATTGTTGATAGGTATCTTCTCAGATCTTGAGCTTTCTTGGTATCAATCTCATTCAGTGAGAAAATAACAATAAAAGTAAAGCGCACAATGCAAATTTATTTAATTACTTACACAGAAGTAAACAGTAGCACGTAAAACATATCCCCAAAGAATCACAGGATAAGTCTCAGTTAGGGATTTCCTCAGGGACAGTTCCTCAATAACAAAATACAAATTTCATCCACAATTAGTTTAAACTTCCTTCCTATAGGTTCCTCCATCTTCTACAGCTGATACTTTCTGGTTCCGCCCTTGGTGACGAAGTTGCGTTCCATACGCGATGAAGTCATGCGTTCCATTGTAATCGGGGTGCTGCCATCTGCGTTCTCGGAGTTCCATGATGTAATTACGCTACAAGCATGTTGACGTGTGCGTTCCACGATGCAGGCCAATAGATCATGTTCTAGCTGGGTCAGAAGTCCTCAAAGTTTATATGTACAATAACCATGTGAAAGGTGATAAAAGTGGTACACTGCATACAAATAGGCCTAGCCTAATAGGCTAGGCCTATTTACCCTGAAGACCCAGCAACCAGCACATCTGTAACAGTTGCCCGTCAGGGTACCCGCTTTACTGATCAATGTCTGGCCTAACACTCTCCTTGAGGGGAGGACAGTAATCCAATGGACACAAGGTATAAGCCTCTTTTGATGAAGACCCAGTAAATAGCACTTCTATAGTGTGATTACCTGGGTATGCCTCTTTTATGTATTCTACCATGTCTGGGGTTTGTTTTAACCTTCCCCACTGGTGATTACAAATGGAATGGGTACCGTTGGAAGCCTGCAGTTTAAACCATTTAGGCTGTCAGTTGTTCAAATTCCCATTTGCCACTGAAATACAGACCTGCAGCAGTTTAGGTAAGTGCATTAGTAATTTAGATTAAATACTAGTATACGCATCTGGGTCTTTGCTCTTTCAGTTCCTCCCAGTTCCTTATATTAGGCTTTCTTCTAACAAACATGTCACATTTAGGAGGTTTCTGTAGTGAGCATTTAGGTAAATTTATGTAATGATGCAATGATGCATTTGTAAAAGAGAGCTGATACTGGACATTCTAGTTATATAAAATACACAAGATCCAACGCACTCACTTATCCACTAAACAGCAATTCCAATGCTGTTCTGAATCTCAGCTGCATAAAGTCTGCCTGAATACCACAGCTTCCTTGTGTGACTGAAGTACCCACATGCATATGCCATGAGTTTTAAAACCTGATGCTAAATCCATGCAGCCAGGGCCACCATCAGAAATTGTGGGGCCCCTAACACAGCTCAAGGTCTGGGCCCCCTGGGTGCCCGCCTCCAAGCCCCGCCTCCAAATCCCACCCACAGGAATACACACACACAGACACAAAAGGACACAGACACACACACAGAAAGATACACACATACTAACAGACACAAATACTGAAACAGACATACACACATATAGACACATACACAGATACAGATACACACACATACTGACATGCAGACACACACACTGACGTACATACATACACACATACTGACACACACACATACATACAGACATAAATACATACTGACAAACATATATACATTCAAACTGACATACATACACATAAATACGTACTGACATACATACATAATGGCATACATACACATACATACTGATATACATACATACACACACACACACAGATAGATAGATATATACATACACAGATACATACAGCAATACACACAGACATACAGTTGCAAGAAAAAATATGTGAACCCTTTGGAATGATATGGATTTCTGCACAAATTGTTCATAAAATGTGATCTGATCATCATCTAAGTCACAACAATAGACAATCACAGTCTGCTTAAACTAATAACACACAAAGAATTAAATGTTGCCATATTTTTATTGAACACACCATGTAAACATTCACAGTGCAGGTGGAAAAAGTATGTGAACCCTTGGATTTAATAACTGGTTGAACCTCCTTTGGCAAGCAATAACTTCAACAAAACGTTTCCTGTAGTTGCAGATCAGACGTGCACAACGGTCAGGAGTAATTCTTGACCATTCCTCTTTACAGAACTGTTTCAGTTCAGCAATATTCTTGGGATGTCTGGTGTGAATCGCTTTCTTGAGGTCATGCCCAGGGCCGGATTAACATAGGGGCTGATGGAGCTGCAGCTCCAGGCCCAGGCCCATGGAATAGGCCCATTGATTTATTTTTTTACATTTTTTTGTTTTACTTTTTTTTTTTTACATTTTTTTTTTTCACACACTACTCTTGGGTATTCCACCTGGCTTTTATTTTATTGGCACAGCCAGTATTTGAGGCTGCCTGGCTGGTGCCAATATTGCAGTGATACTGGCAATACAAATGCTGGTATTTTTATCAGTATAAACAAGAGATTACTATGCAATACCAGCACTGGCCAGTAGGGGTCGCTGTGTGTGGAGACAGGCAGGGATAGGAAGTTCCAGCATATCCCTCCCTGCCTATCTATACTCACTGATCTGCAGGGGTGCTGCTACAGAGAGTCCAGACAGCAACTCCCACCCTGCAGAGACAGCCTACAGCTCAGGGAAGTAAGGGATGGGGGGAAAGGCTGCAAGGAGACATGGGGACACTGAGACACTAAGGGACATTGGGAGACATGGGGACACTGAGACACTAAGGGACATTGGGAGACATGGGGACACTGAGACACTAAGGGGCATTGGGAGGCCTTATGGCAGACACTGAGACACTAAGGGACACTGGGAGACATTATGGCAGACACTGAGACACTAAGGGACATTGGGAGACATTATGGCAGACACTGAGACACTAAGGGATACTGGGAGACATTATGGCAGACACTGAGACACTAAAGGACATTGGGAGACATTATGGCAGACACTGAGACACTAAGGGACATTGGGAGATATTATGACACAGACACATGGGGACACAATGTCCCCATGTCTCCCAGCCAGTGTCCCTGGTGTCTCAGTGCCCCTAGTCTCCCAGTCTCTCACTGTCCCCATGTCTCCTAGTGCCTCCATGTCTCTCATTGCCTCAAGTGTCACAATGTCCCCATGTCTCCAAGCTAGTGTCCCTAGTGTCTGTGGCCCTGGTGTCTCAGTGTCCCCATGTCTCCCAGTGCCCCCATGTCTCAATGTCCCCATGTCCCCTAGCCAGTGTCTCTAGTGTCTGTGTCCCTGGTGTCTGTGTCCCTATGTCTTCAAATGTCCCCTATTTTCCCATTGTCCCCATGTGTCCCAGCCAGAGTCCCTTAGTCTCCCAGTGTCACTTGTGTCTCCGTGTCCCTAGGTCTCCCCGTGTCCCGAGGTCTCCCCGTCTTCCTAGTGTCCTAGTGACATGGGGACACAGGGAGACATGGGGCATTGAGACACTGTGATACATAGGATCACTGGGAGACCTGGGGACACGACACTGGGAGACATGGGGCACTGAGACACTGATACATAGGAACACTGAGACCTGGAGTAATCGACACATGGGGGCACTGAGTCATGAGGACACTGGGAGACATGGGAGCACTGGGAGGAATCCATCTATACAGCAGAATCAAACTAAGTAGTCTTTTGGTGATTTTACAGCATTTCCTCTTATGTCACTCCTTTTTTTCCAAGAAAGGTGGCAAACCTAACTACTTTTCACATACTCTTACTTAAGTATGGAAACTTAGGTGGGATGTATGGGAACAAAACTTGTGTGGACTGGCTGACAATGAATATAGTTAAAGGGACACTATAGTCACCAGAACAACTACAGCTTATTGAATTTGTTCTGGTGAGTAGAATCATTACCGTCAGGCTTTTTGCTGTAAACACAGAGAAAATGCAGTCTTTACATTACATCCTAGTGATAACTTCACTGGCCACTCCTTAGATGACTGTTAGAGATCCTTCCTGGGTCATGGCTGCCTAAAATGCATCCAAACATTCAGTGTCTCCTCCCTCTGCATGCAGACACTGAACTTTCCTCATAGAGATTCATTAATTAAATTCATCTATATAAGGAGATGCTGATTGACCAGGGCTGTGTTTGAATCATGCTGGCTCTGACCCTGATCTGCCTCTTTGTCAGTCTCAGCCAATCCTATGGGGAAGCACTGTGATTGGATCAGGCCACCACTTCTAATGATGTCAGCAGACTGCTTGTTTTTATGAGTCTAACAGCATGCAGAGTTACAGCTTCGGGCTTGAATATAGTAAGATTTTGCTATATTTATGGAGGCATGAGGGGCCCAGGGGGCTAGATGGTGGTGTTAACACTATAAGGTCATGAATTCATGTTTGTGTTCCTGACCCTATAGTGATCCTTTAAGGTAATGCTGACTTTGGTCTCTCTAACATGTTCCCTTTCTTCTACACTCACTACATACAGCTTTTCTCTGTCCCAGACCATATACCAGGAGCTTCTGCCTGCTAGTAAGAAGGTAAGTGGACCAGCGAGTGCTAGGGGACAGTCCTTAGAAAGCGTTGAGTGAGCGCATCATTAGATGCATTTATGCCAAGCTCAGGGTGCTGTCTGCATAGTATGCCCTTAGTTGGCCAGCTGCATGATTGGCAGGCAGCCTGACATGCATTCATGCCAGGCTGGCCTTCTAATTCTTTGAGCAGACATGTCCTCTTTTTGGGCATGTTCGCCCCTTTTGGCAGGTTACGTGATTTGTGTCAGTGGCACACCCTTTTACCGTGCCCATTGACTTCCTGCCTGACTGGACACTGCTGTTAGGGGTTATGGATTTACTTGAAAGATGAAAACATAAATTAGAGAGAGATTAGCATTTTCTTATAGCTGCTGTTTTCTTACTCTCCAGCACCATCTCCATCAGATACATGATGCTTGGGAGTGTTTTACTGTTTTTGGTCGATATGATTCTGTAATTAGGCCCGTCATAATTGTCAGCACCAGGCCCACTGGGCTCTTAATCTGGCCCTGGTCATGCCACAGCATCTCAATCAGGTTGAGGTCTCTGACTCTGACTGGGCCACTTCAGAAGGCGTATTTTCTTCTGTTTAAGCCATTCTGTTGTTGATTTACTTCTATGCTTTGGGTCATTGTCCTGTTGCAACACCCATCTTCTTTTCTTTTTTTTTTAATATTCTTTATTTTTATTTTTGCTCAACATACATAGCAAGCATCAACGGTTGGGCTTACGCAGAAGCCAAATAATGGGTAATTTCTTAACAATTACATGCAGTTCAATCATTACAGTATGTGCCCATGTTTAACGGAACCATGAGGGCTTGCCCTCCATGAAGGATTTTAATATACATAATGTAATTCCTCAGTACATTATATTGGTTTGACAGGAATACTTAGGTGTGCATAAGAAATGTCACTGACGCAGAGGCAAACTTTGGCCTAACGGCAACACCCATCTTCTGTTGAGCTTCAGCTGGTAGACAGATGGCCTTAAGTTCTCCTGCAAAATGTCTTGATAAACTTGGGAATTCATTTTTCCTTTGATGATAGCAAAGCAGCCCCAAACAATGATGCCCCCACCACCATACTTCACAGTTGGGATGAGGTTTTGATGTTGGTGTGCTGTGCCTTTTTTTCGCCACACATAGTATTGTGTGTTTCGTCCAAACAACTCAACTTTGGTTTCATCTGTCCACAGAATATTTTGCCAGTACTGCTGTGGAGCATCCAGGTGCTCTTGTGCAAACTGTAAATGTGCAGCAATGTTTTGTTTGGACAGCAGTGGCTTACTCTGTGGTATCCTCTCATGAAATCCATTCTTGTTTAGTATTTTACGTATTGTAGATTCGCTAACAGGGATGTTAGCATTTGCCAGTGACTTTTGTAAGTCTTTAGCTGACACTCTAGGATTCTTCTTCACCTCACTGAGCAGTCTGCGCTGTGCTCTTGCAGTCATCTTTACAGGACGGCCACTGCTAGGGAGAGTAGCAGCAGTGCTGAACTTGCACCATTTATAGACAATTTGTCTTACCGTGGACTGATGAACAGCAAGGCTTTTGGAGATACTTTTATAACCCTTTCCAGCTTTATGCAAGTCAACAATTCTTAATCGTAGGTCTTCTGAGAGCTCTTTTGTGCGAGGCATCATTTACATCAGGCAATGCTTCTTGTGAAAAGCATACCCAGAACTGGTGTGTGTTTTTTATAGGGCAGACAGTGGCGTACATACCAGGGTCACAGGGGTCGCGGCTGCGACCGGGCCCGGCCCACCAGGGGGCCCGGCTGCCCCTGCGACCCGGTATGTAGCCACAGGGCCAGCCTCTTCCCCTGGGGGGCCCAGGAGCCGGCCACCCCAGGGCCCCCCGAGGCTGGCCCTGCGGTCACACACACACTCCTGGGCGGGTGGCCGGTCGGGCAGGCAGGCGGGCGCGCGAGGGATCTTCTGGCGCCGGCATCCCTACGTGGCGCGCGAGGGAGCTGAAGAGGAAGCACTGAGTGCTCCCTCGCGCGCCCGCCTGCCTGCCCGACCGGCCACCCGCCCTGGAGCCCAGCAGCACCACTGGACCCCAGGGAATCCCCCCAGCACTCCAAAAGGTAAGGAGGCTGGGGGGATTATATTAAAAAAAACAAAAAAACATGTGTGAGTGTTAGTGTTAGAGTGAATGTTAGAGTGAGTGTTAGAGTGAGTGTTAGAGTGAGTGTGAGTGTTAGTGTGAGTGTTAGTATGAGTGTTAGTATGAGTGTTAGTGTTAGAGTGAGTGTTAGTGTTAGAGTGAGTGTTAGTGTGTGTGTCTTAGTGAGTCTGTTTGATGTCTGTTAGTGAGTGTGTGTTTGTCAATGAGAGTGTATGTTTTGTAAGTGAGTGTGTGAGTGTGTATGTATGTCTGTCGCTGAGTGTGTCTCTGTTAGCTAGTGTGTATGCATCTGTTAGTGAGTGTGTGTTTGTCAATGAGAGTGTATGTTTTGTAAGTGAGTGTGTATGTATGTCTGTCGCTGAGTGTGTCTCTGTCAGTAAATGTGTGTCTGTTAGCTAGTGTGTATGCGTCTGTAAGTGAGTGTGTGTGTGTCTTCAGCACTTACCTTTCTCCAGCGCCGGACTCCCTTGGCGCTGGGGATCCCTCAGCCCCTCAGCTCCGAATGAGACCGCGCACGCATTCAAACCGCCCACAGGAAAGCATTACTCAATGCTTTCCTATGGACGTTCAGTGTGCTCCTCTAGCGGCTGTCAGTGAGACAGCCATTAGAGGCTGGAGTAACCCTCAGTGAAACATAGCAGTTTCTCTGAAACTGCTATGTTTTCAGCTGTAGGGTTAAAACTAGAGGGACCTGACACCCAGACAACTTCATTGAGCTGATGTGATCTGGGTGTCTGTAGTGGTCCTTTAAAGGACCACTATAGTGCCAGGAAAACATACTCGTTTTCCTGGCACTATAGTGCCCTGAGGGTGCCCCCACCCTCAGGGACCCCCTCCCGCCCGGCTCTGGAAAGGGGAAAAGGGGTAAAACTTACCTTTTTCCAGTGCTGGGCGGAGAGCTCTCCTCCTCCGATCCTCCTCTTCTCCTCCCCGTCGGCTGTATGCGCACGCGCGGCAAGAGCTGCGCGCGCATTCAGCCGGTCACATAGGAAAGCATTCATAATGCTTTCCTATGGACGCTGGCGTGCTCTCACTGTGAAAATCACAGTGAGAAGCACGCAAGCGCCTCTAGCGGCTGTCAATGAGACAGCCGCTAGAGGAAATAGGGGAAGGCTTAACCCATTCATAAACATAGCAGTTTCTCTGAAACTGCTATGTTTATGAAAAAATGGGTTAACCCTAGCTGGACCTGGCACCCAGACCACTTCATTAAGATGAAGTGGTCTGGGTGCCTAGAGTGGTCCTTTAAGTGTGTGTGCATCTGCATGCACTGGCGTACATACCGCGGTCGCAGGGGTCGCAGCCCTGTAACCCCTGCGACCAGGTGCCCACCGCCATGTGTTGCGGCCCGGCCCGCGCGCCGGGGGGGGCCACGGATCAATTTTCGCACCGGGGCCCCATGGGTCATGTGTACGCCACTGAGGGCAGGGCAGCTGTAACCAACACCTCCAATCTCATCTCATTGATTGGACTCCAGTTGGCTGACATCTCACTCCAATTAGCTCTTGGAGATGTCATTAGTCTAGGAGTTCACATACTTTTTCCACCTGCACTGTGAATGTTTACATGGTGTGTTCAATAAAAACATGGCAACATTTCATTCTTTGTGTGTTATTAGTTTAAGCAGACTGTGATTGTCTATTGTTGTGACTTAGATGATGATCAGATCACATTTTATGACCAATTTGTGCAGAAATCCATATCATTCCAAAGGGTTCACATACTTTTTCTTGCAACTGTACATGCATACTGACATACATACCGATAGATATATACATACACACATACATACTGACATACACACACACAGACATATATACATACTGACATAGACACATACTGTCATGCGGTATCTCTTCCGGGTTCGGCACTTCCGCATTGCGGTGCCGGCCCCGCCCCCTTCTGACGCGGCTCTGACAGTACTTAGGGAGACCGCGCCAGGGAGAAGGTGCTTGGTGATTGTGGGACCTAC